GTCAAAAAACAACAGGAGGTGTATGACGCGCGGGCCCTGCGCGTGATCGTGGACGACTGCGGCGGGGCGCGGCTGGGTGACGCTGTGCAGTGCTGCTACCGCCTGGTGGCCGCGGTGCACCAGCTGTGGCGCCCCATAGCCAATGAGTACGACGACTACATCTCAAACGTGGGTGCCTGGGGGGGGGTAACATTATGGGTTCGGGTCTGCTGTTCACGGCAGTTTGTGGGATTGCAATTGCTCGGGGCTCCACAACACCTGCACAGTGCTTGCGCGATGGCAGCGATGGCAGGGGTGGCAGAACGGGCAGGGGTGGCAGAACGGGTGGTAGCGCGGGTGGCAGGCCTCAGGGACGGCGGGTCGTGCCTCAAACCTCTGCACTCCGCCCAAGGAGGCCGTCCCAAGGGCAAGAATGCCCTGGGGGCCCTTCCCCGCTCGTACGCCGCTGCCGCCGGGCGGCGCCCCTCACCCCCTGAAACATCCCTCCACCCTCGACACTAAACATGAACCCTGTCGCCTGTCTCCCGTGCTCCACGCATCCGGCCCCTCTTCCCCCCCTCAGCCCAAGCCCAGCGGCTACCAAGCGCTGCACACCGCAGTGTGGGGGCCGGGGGGCGCCGCCCTGGAGGTGCAGATCAAGACGCGGTCGATGCATGAGGACGCGGAGTATGGGGGCGCCGCACACTGGGCCTACAAGGAGGGCGGCACGCCCGCCGCAGGGGGCGGCGGGGATGGCGTGGGCAAGGGGGAGCCGGCAGCAGCGGTATGGCCGGCGGGAGGCTGGGCGGGCCAGGCGGGCGGCATGGTGGCGGTGGCGGCGGGCGATGCAGTCGGCAACAGCAGCAGCGGCGGCGGCAGCAGCAGCAGCAGCAGCAGCAGCAGCAGCAGCCGCAGCAGCAGAAGCGGTGCTAGCAGCAGCGGCATCGGCATCAGCAATACCACCACCGGCAGCAGCAGCAGCCAGGATCCCGCCCCAGATCTGGGTCTCCCCGCCGCCGCAGCCGCAACACTTCCTGCCGCAGCCGCCGTCGCACCCCTCGACGCGCGCCCCTCGGCCCCGCCGCCGCCGGCCCTCCCCCCGCGCCCCTCCCACCGCGCGCCGCCGCCGCCGCCCCGCGGCGCCCCCTACCCCGGGCAGCCCATCCTGCGCGTGTCCCACTGCCTGCGCTACGGCGCGGTGCTCGCCCTCGCACCCTCTGGGGCACTGCTGGTCGTAATCCTCAATGGCGGCACCTCCCCAGAGCACCCCTTGCGTGTGCCCGACTACGGCTTCTACGCCTCCCTCGCTGCCTACGCGCGCGACCACGGCTGGAGCCGCCCCGGGCAGGGGGACCTGCGGGCGCGCGTGGAGGAGTTTGTGCTGTGCCGCGACGGCAGGTGGGGGTGCGGCCGGCGCTGACGGCCTGGCTTGGGTGGCGGCGGTTTCTGGGGGTTTCCCACGGACGCAGCGTTGCCTGGTGCCTATCCAGTCAGCGCCAGCTTACTGCGCTCTGTTACCGGCCACCTCGCCTGAGCGTACATCTCAATGGTTTGTTACGTTTGTCAACGACTGCTGCAACGCAGGTGGCACCGGCGGGACCACCTGGGCTACACGCACCCCAACACCACGCTCACGCTGCTGGTAGGGTACGAGGCGGACGCAGCCGCGGCCGCAGCCGCCGACGCCGACGCGCGCGGCGACGCCGTGCCGGCCGCCGCCGCCGCCGCCGCGGCCGCTGCGAAGAAGAAAGCGGCAAAGGCGGAGGTCGCGGCGGCTGTGGCGGCGGCGGGGGCGGCTGTGCCGACGGCGGCCGTCGCCGGGGCTGCGGCGACCGCTGCTGCCGTTCCGGCGGCGGCAGCGCCCAGGTCCTCTGCGCCGCTGCCCATGGTCCCCGAGTCTCAGGGCGGCGCGATGGCCGCTGCGGCCGCCGCGGCCGCCGCGGCCGAGGAGCAGGAGCGGTGGCAGGAGCAGTGGCGGGCGACGGCCAGCAAGGCGGCGCAGCTGCGGAGTGTGATAGAGTGGGGCCAGGACCTGGCTGAGGGGTTTGAGGCGCCCGCGCAGAGCGAGGAGGTGTCGGTGCTGATCTGGCCCGGCGGCACCATCGAGTGAGGGGCGGGGTCCAGGGGTCCAGTCATATGCGGGGCCAAGGGGTCGCTGATCCTGGGGGGTCACACGAGGTGTCGGCGCTGCCGAGAGGGCAGGCGACCGCAAGGGTTGAGACTCTGGGTCATTCTGTCCGGGACCACCTTGTGAGGCGCGGCCGACACATCCAGCCAACTGAATTCGCTCGCCGCCAGGCTGGGGCCCTGCCCGCCTGACCAAGTGTGTGCCACCTTCACCCCTCATGACCAACCCTGGTGCGTACCGTCACCCCCCCCCCCAGGGACCTCCCCCGCGGCACCACCGCGGGCCAGCTGTTCCGCCGCAAGGGCGTGCTCACCATTGAGGACGCAGACGCGCCACCGGGCGGCGGCCTCGGCGCGGCGCCGGGCGGTCCGAAGCGCTTCAACGTGAACAACCGGCTAGTGGGCGGTGACACCCTGCTGGAGGACGGGGACCTCGTCATCCTCGCAAACCACGTCCTCAAGATCTGAGATCTGTGCCGTCCGATGAATGATCTGGGGCGGCGATCTGGGAGGCCTTACTATTGGGGCGCGCGGGGGCCCAGGCGTCGGCGCGTGACTGGGGTCCCGTGCAACAGACACTGCTGCTGTGCCTGCTGCTTGTGCAGCTTGACGTGGCTTTGCGCCGCTCGTGCGCCGTTTGCACGTCTGCTGGCCTATGAGCGGAGCTGCCAGAACCAACACACCGCGCATCGGGCGGCCACCATCGCCGCCTCATCCCCCCTTTGTACTCGTACGCCATACCGCACGTCTGCTTGACTCCATTAGCCACGCATCATGTACCGCTCTTGTGCTTATTTCGCTGGCCGTTCTTGGTGGCAGCGGGCTGCGCTCGCGGGCCCCAGGGCGCCCTGCCCGGCAGCACGTGTGCGCTTTGTGGGAGCGGTGTACATCAGCAGAGAGGGTTTGGTGCCTCAGCAACGAATCGTTATTAGCGTCAGGCGCAACTCATTGATTTGAACTTTTCTTGCTGCCGGCTCTCCGATTTTTAGGTGTTGTTTTGCGGCTGCGGTCAGGCTGCATTTGCCGCCGTCATCAGGCCTTTTCGTCTGACCCAGGCCCTCCCTGTCCAATGTCCAGCCTCACAGCCGGCACGCCCCGGGGTCGTGTAGCTCATCCTATCTAATCACTCCAGGCAGGTTGCTGCTGTGATCTCACGACCGTTGCCAATGTACCTCTATGTAATGTGACCGCTGGTGCTGGTGTCCAGGTGTGAACCGATGGCCAGCAGGGGCTTTGCAAACCGTACGTACGCGTGTAGCAGGCGTCCGCTTGCTTACGGCGGACTTTGTTAGTGTCCCTGAAATATCTGATGCCAGATTTTGCAGCGGGCAGGTTTTGCGCCAGCAACAAATGTGCCGCTCCGTCCATCTCGTGCGTTTATTGCATTTAATACTTTCAATGATGTTTGCGTGGTGTCCAGGGACAGGATGCCGTTTGCCACCTCCTCCTGCCCTGAGCGTGCGCCAGCTGCTGCAGCCGCCACATGCGCAGCCCTTTGCGGGGAGAGATGCTCTGTGCAACCCCGCGGCCCGAGGTTTGTATGCGTATTTTTCCGAAATGAATTGTGCTTTTGGTGCCAGGACACTCAACTTGCAAGGTTGTCATCGATGGTCCCGGCCATGGAACAAACTCCCGCTGAGATTTTTCGAAACGCCATTGGCGCTAGCCAAGTCCTAGATGGTCACGTTTGGCTCAGAATTGTGGATGAATCTCTAAAAATTGTGCGTGAAGCGCCGCTTGCAGCCAGGGCACCCGAATCATGTCGAATCATGTGTACAGATTGCGCCGGGGACGCCAGACACAGCGCTGCACCGTGTAAAAGTTCTGAAACACGCATTAAAAGACGATAATAGTGTCTTCCGGCTGCTTTGCGTTCCATTTGTTGTCCCCATCAGGACCACCCCATAACGATGACGGCCCTCAAGGCCACGCCCTACCAGGGGCGCTGTTTTACGCCGTTGAAGCTTATTCCCACCCTAAAGGCAGCACAAAGAGGGGCAGCGCGCGCCGCAGCGGCGGCGGTCGGGGTGCCGCCGCGCTCCCTGGACCAGTGTCAAGCCTGGGACCTCCTGTCGTGCCACACGGCCGGGGGCGGCCAGGAATTCCTGGAGGTGCTGGAGGGGTGGGACGGCAGCTGTGCCAAGGTCCTGTGGAAGGGGCAGCAGCTGCGGGCGGCGGCAGACGGCAGCCTGCCCGCTGGAACATGGCGGCTGACTCCCCTGGGTGGGTGGATGATGAGCGCGCGACAGGCTCACAAGCCAAGGAGGCCGCATGCGCGACAGCCCGGGACCGTGCTGATCAGCTCTGATGTAGCTGGCTTGCATCGACCAGGCTCTTTTGCGCTGCACACAAGTGGGTTCCTACCTGCTCACACGATGTACTTGGCGCCGACAAGCCTCACGTGCCGCTGCAGGCGTCTACCCTTCCCCGGACAGCCTGGTGGTGAGGTCGTTCCCTGAGATGGGGCAGGTGCTGCCAGCCATGCAGGCGCAGGCGGGGACGCCGCCTGCATCGGTGGCGGGCGTGGAGGTGGTGGGGTCGCTGGACGGCCTGGTGGCGGCGGTCGAGCAGGACGCCTCATTCTGGTGCGGCCAGCCAGCCGGGGCGCAGCAGTGCGACGGCTGCAGCGGAGTAGGGCGCAGGCTGGGGGCAGCGGGGGTGCTGGCTGGCGGCAGGTGTGATGGGTGTGGCGTGCACACCCTTGTGAGCTGATTCGCGCAGGGGCGCAGCCACCGCATAAGTTGGGGTGCCGCTGAGAAGACTCTGCCGTCAGCAGACTGACGCAGGGCCGGCTGCGCCACCATCACCTGGCAGGTGTGACGGCTTGGCGCCGGGTGGCCCCGTCAAGACCGCGCAGCAGCAGGCCGTGTTCACGGCGGGCGAGATTGCCGCGCTGCTGGCAGGGCGCCGCGGGGTGGCCATTGTGCAGCTGTTTAACGGGTGGGACCGCGACAAGGGGCAGGTGGGCGCGGCAAATGAAAGGCCCTTGTGTTGCAGCCAGCGTCTGTCCTGGTGAGTGACAGGCAGCAGAGGGAACGCGCCACACACGCAGCCGCTTCTCGATGCAGGCTGTTGCTTCGGCATCCACTCTGGCATGGCGTTTTTCTGGTGCGGGCAGGTGAAGCACGGGCTGGACAGGCCCACATCTTTAGGAGAAGCTTCAAACCCCAAACAATCGCCACCGCGATTCTTGTCAATCCCTCCCCCTCGACGCCCGCTGCCTCGTGCCACCAGCCCGTGTACACTCCGTTTGCACTACCCCTCCTGGAGCGCGCCCTGGCGGCGCCCGGCGTCGGCTTTGTCGGCTCAGTCGCGCCTGGGGGTGCGGGGCTGACCGCTGTGCTGCACGCCGACCGCGAGCCGTTTGCGTCCTGGGCCGCGCACCTCGCCAGCTTCGGGTGCCAGGTGCGGGCGGGGGGTTGTCAGGCCAGGAGGGTTGGGCAATCAGCAGTGGCGGAATGGCAGGGTTGGAGACAGGAGGGTCGTCAGGAACTGCCCCCGCCCGGTTCGCCCGACAACATCCCGCATTGCGATCCGGAGCTGGCGAGGGCACAGCAGGCTGCGATGTGGGCTATTTAATCACTGTTCACGGGAGGCTGTGGCGGATACCTGGCTGTGCTTGCTTCATCAGGGACCCGTGGGGCACTAGAGCTCCGCGCATATACCTTGACACCTCCATGCCCAAACCCCAGTATTCATCCCTCAATCCAGATCCTCCCTCATCCCCTTTCAAACCCCCTCTCCCTTGAACCTGCCCCCCGCACAGGCCAACGTGGTGGCGGGCTCTGCCTACTACAAGCTGCTCATCGGCCACCTGCTGGGGTACAAGCCAGCCAACGTGCTCGGCTATGCTGAGTCAGCAGAGGCGGTCTCGCGGGAGCTGCAGAAGCAGGTTGGCAGATTGAAGCAGCCCCATGGCCACACGGGGGGAGCGCGGGGCAGGCCGCTGGGGCAAGAGGCAGCGCGCTCTCATGATGGCGCCGTTTCGGCAAGGGCCGGCAGCACATCAAGTACGCCTTGCGCCTGGCGGGACGTGAGCAGCAAGCACGCAGCTGGCTGCAAAGTCGACTTAGAGGGCGGGGAATGCGCCACGCGCCTGATCCCACTCTCGCGCTTCAGGGTCCTCACACCTATGCATTGCTGCAATCCACCTGACCTGGGGCCGCGTGCAGGTCGAGGATGACATCAGGGGGCTGAGCAGGGTCAAGGCCCGCCTGCCGTGGAGTGCCGACGACCCCCCGCCCACCACCAAGCCCTCGAAGAAGCCCAAGGCCGCCGCAGCTGGCGGCAAGGGCGGCAAGGGCTTTGCCGCCGGCAAGGCCGCGGTACGCTCTCGCTGAGCCCGCGGCGCAATCGGCGTTCCATGCCTGCCAGGAGGGCTGTCTTGAATTCCTGGGTGCAAGGGCGGCTGCAACCTGGATCCGAGCACAAGCTTTGCCGTGGATTCTTGAGACAAGCCAGCATCCTGGGCTCGAGCTGCGGCCCGGCCCCTGTGGTCAAGCAACCTCTGCGCGGGGGGACACAAGCCCACAAGTGTCGCGCGGCTGCGCAGCACGCACAGCAGACTGCTGCTTTACCATGTACTACATGCGGTGCAGGTCTTGCAGTTCATGACCTGCACCTCACAGCATTGGGGCCATAAAACATACAAGTCGAGCCGCAGAGCTCCACTGCGCTTCCGAGAGCGACGAATGGCCTCACCATACCAGGCTGCGCCTGATTACATGCCTGGGCCTGCACGCAATCCAAAGCGCCCTGACTGCCCATTGTAACTTCCAGGTCTCAGCCAGTCTCATGATGCTGCAACCCCGCGAGAGCCTCGGCACGGCCGCCCCTGTCAGTGGCAGTCAAGCTAGCATGCAGCTCTGCAGTCAGTGCGTGGAAGGGGAGAAGAGGATGCCGTCGAAGCGCTGAGCTGGCATGGCGCGGCTGCCGCTGCACGCAAGGGGAGTGCCTGCTTTGCCCAAGCCTGTGTACATGCCGTGCGATCCACCATTGCAGCACCAGCAGGGGCCAACCAAGCTCCCCACAGGGTTGCAAGAACCCATCAGAGACAACACAGACACCGACCAACAAAGGAAACAATCAACCAGCAGCCGCTCATTCAGCGGCGCCTTGCTTGCAGACCAGCTGCGCGCACATGCACACAAGTGCAGGCCCAGATTTTGCAGTCGTGCGGATGCTGCCCTGCCAGCCGGCTGTACAGGGCTCCGGCTGAGACACCGTTGGGCTGACCTGCTCAGACTGCATCCAGCAGACGCACAGACCCCCCCTCGCAAGGGCCGCACGGTCCCGCCCCGCTCTACCCGGCCCTGGCGCGTCACGCCGCCGCCGCGCCGCGGTCCTCCAGTATGCCGATCCTCTTGTTGGGGTAGTCCACCACCACGCGGCGGCGGTTGATGAGGTCGGCGCCCACGATGCCGGCGCTGTAGAGGCTGATGTCCAGCCCGCCACGCAGGGAGAACAGGGCGCGCACCTTTGGGGGGGGGGGGGAGATGAAGGGTCAGGCAGTGCAGAGCAGTGCAGTGCAGGTGTTTGCTGGGGCCGGGTCGTGGGTGATGGGCCCGTGTTTGAGGGATTCCCTGGGAGGGTTTGCTGTCGCGGCTTCGCCTGTGACCGCATGGCGGGCGGTGCGGCGCCCCCGCGCGCACTGTCCTCGGAATTTTGGGCCTCGTCCCGTCCCCCCTTGCCAGCCCGCCGACGCGCCCCGCATCAAACAAGGCGGGCCCTCCTCCCTGCAACCCCCGCCCCAGCCAAACCCTGGCCCCCGCGTCCTGACCAACCCACGACATCACGCGCCCCCCGAC